GCTGGAGGTGAGTAACAACTGCCACAAGCGAAGGAGACGGTTAAGCGATGGAAAATCTTTTGTGTCGAAGGTTAAAGTGCATTTATTGCAACGCCGAGTACAGCAAACCGAGTGATCAGTCTGTCGGACTTCACCGGTTAAAAAGAGTTGCATGAGGAATACGGCGAGACTTTACAAGCAAGACTTTACCGGCCTTTGAGAGATCCTCTCCAAACTCTTGGTGACGCCTGACTCAGCGCTCAGTAGTTCTTCTTCGACACAATACAGCAACTACGTCGCGAAATCAGTTTCAGCGTTAGCAGAAAAAGCGATGGCAGTGAAGAAAGCCTGGATCGTGAAGACGACTTATCTAGCGCTACTTCGGTTCACTGTCTGTTATTAACGCGATGGAAGCGTAGCAGCTAGCAGAAGGTTAATAATTATCGATTTGTCGAATTATCCGTCAATTTGCATGTCCATAAGTATCGATCCGTCACTCGTGCATGCGACAGTGGCGGCAAAAGTAGCGAGGCACCGTCGCGAAAGGTATGCCGCGTATCTGCCTGGAGAAAGGCACATGAATAGAGTGCGTCGTAGATCGGCCAAAGCAGATCGTAGACACGAGCAGGTGAAACGACTCAGTCATGCGCAAACAGTCGCATCGCATTGACTGATCAAATTATCGTCGACCATTTGCACAACGACTGTAAAACGGACACACTAGCCTAATTGAGATTCTTCATACTGTACTTGGACTAAATCAATCCGCAAGTCCATAGCCCAAGTTGACCCAAGTGGTCAGCTTCAATTATTATACATGACGTGGAGTGTTACGGGTTGCTCTACACATCAGCCATGGCATCATGCGTCTCGGTAGCGATAGTGCATCGAGAAACGGAACTCCAAACATACGCCGGCCAACCGATTTTTATCCAAGCCAACAACGAAGGGCTCTCGATCCCTTCGTTCTGTCTCCGACAAGAAACGGCTTGGCAGTAAGGCATAAATACGAAAATCTTTCATACGTGTCACTGCAATATAGTAATCATTTCAGTAATCAAGTTGTAACGGATCATACATGGTCAGTAAAAGCAGTACATAAATCGAAAAATCTCCTGATATCCGCTATATGATTTCTTTATGCGGGAGAGTTCAGAGTGGCAACCAGTCCATGCCGGCCTGCACTGAAACCAATATGATTTCAGCCGATAGTGGCAACGCGTGGTTTTTACGTCATTACTGCCGCAGCCTACAGGAAAGCCGCGGCGCAGACTTAAACACGCAGGCAACAAATGCTTAGGCATATAAGTGTGCTTAGTAATGATGCAGTAAATCGTGACATTACTGGCTTGAACTGAACCGCAGATCAGATTCAGTTCATATCAGCATGGACGGATTACCACCTTGGGCGATGACGTGTCTAACAGTGAAAGAATAGAAACAGCAGCTGAACAACAAGGAGATTTATTGACGATGCCAGGAGCGACGCAGATTTGCTTCCACAAACTGAAATTTTATGTTCCTGCCAATTAGACGCCATAAAGGGTACCGACGATTTATAAAAAAGCCTCTCTTCTGCATCGAGTCGGCCTGAAGTGGTTCCTCGTTGCGACCACTGAACAGCGACATGCGGCAAAATTTTCGTGGGAGGATGAGGATCTTTTCGCCAAGTGAAGCAGTCCCGTTTACGATACACGTAGATGGCTCTCGGAGCAGATCTTCATTGTCTAAGCCACTCTCGTAGGAGGAAAACCTGAGCAAGCGTCGGAGGCGGCCGTTTCCTTTCTGCGTCAGGCGACCAAAGAATGCAAGGGTCATGTAGAGTAGTAGCGACACTATGCAACCCTTCGCGAAAAGGTGAACCAGTTTTCGTGAATTTTAATGATGTGCCATGTCGGCCTGGCCATCTGTGCGTTCCACTTGAGGAGTCTGCAAAATAATACACCGAAACACCTTACTTTACTAGCCTCTGGCCTCGAATTTCTGGCCTGTGTCGCTGATAGTCCGATATTCCGGTAGGGATCTCAAGGAGACAGCGTCCACACTCTGCAGTAAAACATACAATCGACAGAGTTCTTGGCATTGGCTAACGCGTACGTTGACTGATTGGTTGGCAGGCAACGTTTTCATGGTGCACGGTGTTCGCACCAACTGATGTATCAACAAATGTTGCGCCGTCTACCTCGTACCGCAGTAACAAAAGCGAGTTGTGGAAGTAAGCTCTTTCCGACTGTTTACTTAACTTCATCACCGTCGTTTAACAGCAGTCAGTTTAAATGACTGAAGCTGGCCATCATCTCACACCTGCAAACTTCAAGAAACCCGCGTCTATCTCGTCCCGTGTTTTAGCTTGTTAGCGAATAAACCGTTCTAGTGCTCGGCCAACCGGCATCCGCGTCTAAATCGTTGATCCATTCAGTTGTTTCATCATTATCACTAGAAATCAACTTGGTCGGTTCAAGCGGTCAGCCCTTTTCTGAGATACACCGACGTACTATATGCACAAGAACCATTTACGCATGATTATCTGAAACGGTTCCGTTGACATCTATGAGCAAGGTAGCAGTTCGATACTGCAGCGTCAGTCTGTGAAACTGTGCTTCTTTAACATAATCAGGACGTTCAAACATACTTCTTTAAGTACTGACGAAAAGGCCTAGTGACTGAGCTCTTCGTTTGTTTGGTTGTGCTCAATTTTGCGAAACTTCTTAAAACTTGAACAGTTCCCATGAGCAAGGAAAATTGCACAGGGTGCTCAGAATCCATGATGACCAGTTATCACCCGAAGGCCACTGGAGGTCCAGGGGCGCAGTGAATAGTGTCATGGCTTTGAACGTTAAAGATGAAACTCGAATTCCAGTGCGGAGCAAAATTCGTTTCTTAACTGCTAATCACCTTAATGCAGAAGAACTCATTTAACAGTATTTAGGGCAGCCAGGCGGCCGATTGGTGGCAAGTCACTGACCTAAGATCGACTTGGAAAGCATTGTGTTCTGAAATGGCCATGCCAGAGCGTGCGAGATACAAAGTGCTGCTTGACGAGTGCGTTTTACAGCTGCAATTCCCTTGACCTGCGTGATAGTTGACCGAATCGGCATATGATCAGCACAAGCCGTAAATTAAAGATAATGATAAAGAGCGATTCATAAAATTTGTCTCCGGTCAGATTGCAAAATGCTAAAAGTCTTGAAATAGACTGAAGTGACGTGTAATGTGCGAAACCGTTGACAAGGGAAATTTTCTGTTATGCCCACTGTTGAAATCCATCGAGAATTTGAGAGACATTGACTGGATGCTTTTGTTCACAACGGGAGCCAAAAATTTGCTTCGTCAGCTGAAGCACTTCGAACATTCTGATTCCGCATCTCTGAAACTTTCTCAGTTTATCTAAATTCTCTTGCATTATAAAGCTACCATAACGTCGAATATTTTGTATATTCATACTGGAAACAGAAAATGGTCGAGAAGGTCAAATCAGCTGACCGTTTCGTTAGTTAAATTATCCGGATGCAGCAGCGTTCGATGAAAATTATCAGACAAAATATCGCGACGTTTTAATTCCGATTCGATTGAATTTACCGTTTTAACAAAAATCAACTATTTGTTTTATCAATCACAGTCAGCAGTGTACAAAGATGGAGCGAAAGGAAATCGGTTTGAATATCGATAAATGCAAAAATGTACGTAGAATCGATCAGCTCAGCGTCAGAATCAATGAAAGAACTTCGCAGAGCACTACTCACTGCTTCGAATTCCAGCGGCAACGAAAATGCGATTCAGTTTAAGTATAATCACGCGATGATGTGCGTAAGATCGTTTATTAAAGCGCAAAACTTGCTTTTCACCTGACATAAAGGGGAAAATCTCTTCATAAATCCAACCGCCGACCAATGTAGTCGAAGGCAGGCGGCAATAAAGCAAAAAATCACATATCATAGTGAAGGCAAGACGAAACAAATTTTCATTTTCCGTTACTGTATTATTAAGAACCGCCATGGAGCTGAAGACGATCGGCAAACGAAAAAAAAATTCAACGATGAGCTGATATTTTCCTTTACAGCATATAGTAGCGAGTAAAAGAAATGAAGAAGAGTCTGCAACTGTTGGAGCATCTATCTGTCTTCCTCACACTTTCATAATGTAGCCATGAATTCCATGCTAGCTCTTCATTTCATGAATTTCGTGGTAGGGCCCTATCTCCATTTCCTTGTCATCAACCGAGAGTGCCTTATTGTAAAGGCAGATTCAGCATGCTTGTAGCGTTGGTGTGCAGCCTACTGTCTCCTTTCCACACGGTGTTACTCATTTATTATACTCAGAAGAAGAAAAGTAGAGTTAGCAAAACCCGGAAGCTCTCGGTTCTGCACCCAACGCTCTACGGGCTGAGCAACCAGAGTTTGAGGCAACCTGCGATAAATTTCGGGCTCAAGAGATTTCGTGGGTAAAAGAAAGATTGCCTTGCGTCGAAATCGAACCCGGCACATATGGAGTTCGAAGCCGACCTCTCAACGTACCATGCCACCACGTCACCATAAACAGATTTAAAACTTCGTGTCGATGACCCATAATCCCGGAAAAGCCTATTTCTCTGTAATCGGTGACCAGCCTCGCGGTTGTAGTAGCTTCATTCATGCACTCGAGGATCCGCCTTAGGGTGGTCAACTCTTTCACCGATGTTCACAGTCAGCCCCTGCAGGAATGTTGGGAAGTTACCTAGCCCAGCGCTTTTTAATAAATACGGCCAGCCATCATAAACTTCGCCGTTGCCCGTAACTCCACCACTGCCGTTCAGAAGCCCCGATGAGAAAAGGAGGGGGGTTGGAGACCGTTGCGAAGTCTACGTAAAATTTCGCCACCTATCCAACATGGTATTGACATCATCTAAAATTATACCCGCCCAGTCTTTGCCCGGGTTACCAAGTAGCGACCAGGCTGCGAAAAGTCGACGGGCGATCAGAACCTGCACATCGCCTTCTGGCAGCCGAGGGCATGGCATCACAACAGCTGCTGATGAAGATCGACTGAACGACAACGACGATACCAATCAGCAACGGAGTCCATATCCGTTTTGAACGGAGGAGGCGGAAAGCGCGATGCCATTATAGCACGTCAGAAAAGGCTCCACGAGAACGATACCGCCAATGGGAGCTTACAATCGGAAACTGGAATATATCGCCATTCAGAGGGAAAGAGCAAGAGTTAGTTGATGAGGCCATAAAGTACCAACTCGTCGCTGTTGGTGGACTCTCGATAACGAAGCGCCAAGGCTCCGGATTCCTGAACCTCTGCGGGTGGAAGCTATTCTACTCAGGTGTATGAAGTACACCGATAGCAGGTATTGCGTCAGAGTAAATGACGCTAAGTCGAAGCCTTTCAACGCTGGCACTGGTATCCGCCAGGGTTCCGTTCCGACCCCTCTCTTGCTTGTGTTGTGCATGGATAGAACAGTGAGACGGAGCCAGACCGATGAATATACCAACGAAGAAAATGTCAAGACGAGAAGGCTACTGTTTACAGACGACGTTGTTCCGTTGGCATCATCTAAAACTGATCTACAGCCTAGTGCGACGCGGCCGCATCTAAAGCGAAAAGCGCAGTGCTTTCTCGTTCA